AGCAATGGTTTTTGCCATCCATATCCTCTATCCTTTAGTCCTTATTTGTTACATGTAGTCAAAAGTATTTGGGTCAGAAATTATAAACCAGAAACAATAACTTTCCCAAAGACCTGTTTAGTGGCATCAATTCCTTTCCTATGAACCTGAAATATTATCTTGAGCCAGCTAACCCTCTCCTATCCTTGGTTTCTCTGATCTAGATTAATCCATGTATAAATCCTCCCTACAAGATATCTAGTAAAAGATCTTTTAGCCTCTTCTTGAAACGCTCCTGTGACCAAGAACTCCATTTTTAGAAAATTCTCCCTTTTTATTTACAAAAATCTCCCTCCCTGTAAGCTCTATGCATTGGTTCTAGTGCTATCTTTGGTATACAGAATAAACCTACCAGAGTTTTTAAAAGCATTTGATAACAGCTATTATGTTCCCCTTCTAAGTTACTTCTTGTAAGCTAAATATTCTGCCAAACACTAAAGGACATTATGATGACAAATAAGATAACATTATGAAAGATATTACAGGAAGAAGTGAGATGTATTCAGTAATGATACCTGTACTTACCATATACTGGTACTCCTTTACTTTTTTTAAAAAAAGATTTATTTATTTTTTAGAGAAGAGAAGGGAGGGAGAAATAGAAGGAAAGAAACATCAATGTGTGGTTGCCTCTCATGAACCTCCTATTGGGGATCTGGCCCACAACCCAGGAATGTGCCCTGACTGGGAATCGAACCAGCAACCTTTCGGTTCACAGGCCAGCACGCAATCCACTGAGCCACACCAGCCAGGGAGGTACACCTTTACTTCTAACTAGGTTCCCCATCACCCTCCATGCAAGGATCACTTTCATACTAATTACAATTAGACTTTACTCCTCATTCTTTTAAGCTTTAGTACTTTTTTAATCTACCCATCAATCATCTATTTTAGAAAGAGGCGAGGGGAGACAAAAAGAGAAGGAAACACTGACACATGCCCCAAAGGGGACCGAACCCGCAACCCAGGCATATGCCCTGACCAGGAATCAAATTAGGGACCTTTGGCTTTGTGGGACAATGCCCAACCAACTGAGCCACACTGGTGAGGGCTTAGCTCCTACACTTTTTAAAACCAACTTTGTACCTGTCATATAATTCCTTCTGTATCAAACTAATTGCATACACAGTTCATTCAACTCCCTTTTACTAATCTAATCTCAAACTTCCCTCTTGAGAAACACAATCCACAAATACCAATTAACTTTTCTTGAACTGTACAGAAATTCCTGTTCATTTTCTACAGTGTCACAGAACTTGTGCTGTTCTGAACTTCTGTTCACTCTTCCCAAAATACTTTTCTAATTTCTAAACATCTCTCAAGGTTTAGCTGAGAGACCATCACTTCTTCTAGGATTTCCTCTATGACCAATCCACCCACACCCCAGGCTGGGTTAGGCAATCTTTAAGCTTCCAAATTAGCACCTTGTGTATACCTTGAGAAAACACTTTCTGTTTTATGCTGTTACCTATCACTAACATAAGGCTCCTTCATGGACACTAGAAAATCTATGGTCTAGCACCCAAAGTTGTTATAAACAAAAAAAAAAAAAAAAAAAAGATAAAAAGCTTCATCTTAAACAGTATTAATAAAATTTAAGTACATTTGAACACACTCCAAGGCACCATTCTTAAGTATTCTGCTTGAAAATTTTAGAGGTTTTTATGAAATCCTGCTATTCTCACTGAATAGCAAGGAATTTTTAAAAAATATACACCTTGAGCCCTGACTGGTTGGAACATCATCCCATACACCAAAAGGTTGTGGGTTTGAATCCCAGTAAGGGCAACCAATTGATGTTTCTCTCTCCCCATTTTTCTCTAACTCAAAGTATTTTAAATATATACATACACATACACACACATACCCTCCTTGAGTTTTTGTCACCAATTACATATTCTCTAGATCCTTCTCCCCACTCTGCCATTAGCTTTCCAGTTACCCGAAAAATATTATGTACCCAAGTGCCTGATTAACATTGGGCTAGGCTTTACGAGCATTATGCAGTTCCTAGTCCCCTCTACTATTCTTATTTTTACCTATAGTTAAAAGGCTACAAATTTAGTATTTGAACAATAAAAAAAAAAATTGACCTAAAAAAAGCTAGAAATTTAAGACAAACTAAACCAACTATTACGAGGTTTATAAAAAAACATTATCACTATTTCAAATAATCCCAGACTATTCCAAAGTTGAGGCAAAGGGAGTTAACTCACTGTTGTTTTCATCTGAACAGCTAACATTAATTCTCTCATTTTTTTCCAAGAAAAAAGCTCATATGGCAATATATACACAGCCGAACCTTCAAAAAGCATACATCCTTTGACCCAGTAGTAACACTAAAGGACAGAAATAAATCAATATTTACATCACAGAATGTTCACTACAGTGCTATTTTAGCTGGAAAAAAATATTAAGAAGCTGACATATTCAAAAATTAGGAAAGGATAATTTACGTTGGATCTATGATCAAATACTATGAAGTCATCAAAAGTGATGTCACTGGAGAATATAGGGAATGGTTCTAAGCAAATGCAGGCTACAAACTGTATCTCAAGTATACAACAGAGTAGACCATATGTCTACGATGTCAGAAGTTTCAAGCCAGACAGCTCTAATGCATGAAGGTTCTACGATATCGAATTATATCATGTGAGAGAACAAGTCAGTTATGATACTGGGCAAAAATAGCTATAATTCTGCTTCACTGTGTTCTGCCAAGAACATGACCAATCTCAAAACTTTGGAACAGCTGTGACATCATTTTCAGGATGAAGTTTAAGTATTTCCCTATGTGCTGAGTTACCATGTCCATCCATTTGGCATGAAGATTTTTTGGAGCCTTATAAATACAAAAGTGCACACACATACACAACACCCAACCTAAGGAGGTCTCTCTGCTGCCTCAATAAGCTATCAGTCCCATTCCCATAAAACCTGTTTTGTCTTGGAAACCTAATAAAGACTGGAAAGTTTACAGTCACTTATGTAAGGATATTAAGGATAACAGTAAGGAATAGAGAAATAAGCTAATAGTGACAAATGTTAACTGAGTTTAGAGGAAATCACAGGGACCTTCCTGAAAGCTCAGCAAGCTTTTCTTACAGAAGGTAAACTAAAAAGTAACCTGACAGAACAATAATTGAAACTTTTTTCCCCCTTGGTGGTTTTGTTCACCTGCCTGAGAACAATGAAAATCCTCAAAGGTCTTTACGGAATAGTTTTAAGAAAAATCCATCAGTTAATAAAGATCATAAATATTATACTCACTTTATGAAAATATCATAGGACTGGTCGATTCCAAAATATGAATCTTATATCTACTTATGAAGTTCAGTTATCATGTACTAAACCACTTAAGTGATTTTAATACAAATGCATACTTGATTAAAAGTTTATATGACAGTCCTCAAATTTGCTACTTCATTTTTAAACCTGTCTCCCCACAATTCTAATATAGTTAAGTACTGTTTATGTTAGCATCTACAATGTGCATTCCTAAAAATATTCCTATCTCTTCCTTTCTGCTTTTAATCACAAGATGTAAGACAGAACCTTGCAAATGAAAGAAAGCATATTGATAATATGAGACAGATTATCAAGTACTTGGACGCCTCTCACACACGTTAAAAATCTGCCATGCCACTACATGGTACCTAAAGGTCACATCCTCCTTCCTTGTACTTCTAGCAACAGGAGCCTGTGAAGACATCTTTATAGTTTTTCAGATGTCTGGCAAAAATAACCTCTAAACTATCTTTTTCTACAAGATTATGGAAGATTTTATGTTAAACTGTTAAAACTCTGGGAAAGAGAGGAGTTTAAAGGACTAAAAGGAGAGTTTCTTTTCAGAGCCAACTTTTCAGTAATCTGGCTCTATACCCCCAATACTTTTAGCATCATTGATTAGTGTATCTCCATTTATTTGTCTGTACATGCTAGACTGTAATGTAAGGTTGTGACCATCCTACTTTGAACAACTATGAACCTCTGGTCCCGTGTTATGGAGGTGAAAACTCTACCAAAGACCCTCCTCCCACTGCTCAAAGGAATAAGTTTTTATAGAGCCATAACGAATGTCTCAGATCCTACATCTAATATATAAGATCTCTATGAATTCATAACTTAATGAAAATATATTTACATAAGCTTATTAGGTTTTGTTTTTCTTTTTTACTAAATTTATTGGGGGTGACATTGGTTAATAAAATTACATAGGTTTCAAGTATACAATTCTGTAATACATTTTCTGTATACTGTATTGTGTATTTACCACCCCAAGCGAAATTTCATGTCACTATTTATCCCCCCATACCCTCTTCTACCTCCCTACCCCTGGTTTTGATTTTTACTTTACATGAGACTAACCACTCAGGATTCTCTCAATTATTTACATATTTTTAAAAAATTTCCTCCCTGCCCATAATCCTTCTATTTCCTACATGTAAATATGTCTAAGTCCTAGATAAAATATGATCTGCCCCAACCAGTATTTTATCATTCTCTTATGGTCTTGAAGTTTACATTCCACTCCACACACAAGGACCAAGCATTACCAACTCTCAAATAAATTCAACTCTACCCAAGATTCCTACTTGTTACAAAGAGAACATGAGAAAGTGACTCTTTAGGAATACAACAAAATATTAAAAGCAAGAGGTCAGCCTTTTCTAATGATCCATTTTCCAAGTTCTATATAATAAACATTTTATTTTTCCAACGGGAAAAAGGTTTTGAAAAGTAAGAACACTAAGGGATAGAAGCAAGAACATTCTTAAGAACGTTCTCTTAATGCTGCCAGGTGACAGAAGGCAGGCTAAAAGATGATGTCAAGGCTTGGTGACACACCAACTCTTGGGGCAGCGGGGGGGGGGGGGGGGGCCGGGGGGGGGGGCGACACGACGACAGTACCCATCAGGCCAAAAGTTAATTCCAAGAGAACCTGTATCTTTTTTTCTCTGCCTGATTACAGCCTCAATCTTTTCCTACTTTAATTTCCTCGGTTTTATCACTTCAATCAATCCCTTTCACTTTCTTTCAGACTCACTCTCCACCTCTTTCTGCATCATATAATTCATTTTCTCTATATTATTTTTTTCCTTTAAGCCTACATTTGTGTCCGCCATTAATGTTCCCACATTTCTTCACACTAAGGTTCAGAGAGTAGATCAATCACACTCCCATAAAAGACTGAACTAGTTATGTGATACTTGTGTTATTTACAGAGCTTTTATTATTCAATATAATACCTCTCCTGTTCTCTCTAGTTCCTTCCCCCCTTCCCTAAGTCTTAACGGTAAGCTGGTTACCTTTTTAACACTTTCTTCTTCCTCTTGGCGTTTCTCATAGTGTGAGAAGTCATCAAAAATGGAAGTGGTGTGCTTGTAGCTGGCTATGATTTTCAACACCTGCTTAGCCTTTTCCAGAGGCACTTCCTGAGTGTCCCTGGAGTTGGTCACTGGTTTATTCTCGTTGTTCTCTAGGCGAATGTGTCGCAGCTGGCTATTGGGAACGTCCTTCACAAAAATCCACCGGACATCAAAACGCCCCTTCCATTTGTCCTGGGACCATACACCTGCACATGTGTTGTAGTCCACAGCTGATTTCATTTCTGCAACGCCACAGAAGTGTCCACTGCCGTTGACACTGAAAAGTAAGTAAACGGGGCCTTTCCCGTTCATGGAGCGATAAGCAGCATCCAGTCTCTTGTTACCGTGCTCTGTGCTGCACCAGATATTATACTTAATGGAACGGTGAATATCGTCCTCAGAGTAGCTCTTAATGATGAAAACCCGGCCATGTTTCAGATTCCAGTCAAAATCCTTGGGGTTATAATTATTAATGGACCGTAGCTTCTCCAACACTGGGTGAGGTTCTGAAGGAGTAGATCCAGATCCAGCCTGAGACTGTCCCACTCCATTACCATCCACCCCATTATGACCAAACCCACTGCCACGGTTCCGAGGTGCTACCCAGCGGGTTGGCTGAGCTGCCTGCTGCTGGACTGACAGCTGGGCAGGCTGTGGTGGCGGTGGGGGCAATGGCTGTGTCTGTTGCCCTACTGATGCCTGAGCCACTGGTGGGCTAGTGTTAGCCTGCTGACCTACAGGCTGGGGAGACCCCTGGGTTGGCTGCTGACCTATATTCTGAACCAAAGCCTGTGAGGGGGCTTTTGCCACAGGACCCTTGTTATCCCAAGTTCCAATATCCATGTTATGCTTTATTGGGGGTGGTGGAAGACTTGACCCTGCAATGCCATTCTTCGTCTTCAACTTAGGTTGTTGTTTAGCAGGCTTGCTAGCTATATCAGCCCAAGATGCTGGTTTTGGAGGAGCAATGGTAGCTGGAGGCAAACTATTAGAAGCCACGATGTTACTAGTAATGGACCCACTACCAACAGCAGAGCCTACAACTTTTGGAACACTGCTCGCAACTTCTGTGCTACCCAACTTCAGTGCTGCCATCCCTTGGTCTATAGTATTCATGCCAGGAGCTTTATTGAGGGTCTCACTGGCAAAAGCTGACTGTCCATCAATCATGGCTCCACCTAAGGAGCTAGGTGCATAAGCATAATTGCTACTGTATCCAGAGCTCTGAGTAGACTGTCCCTGAGAACTGTTATTTCCCCAAGCTGAGAAGTCAATACCACTGGGAAAGAAATTAAAACCATGCTGACCAAGAAATGGAGTGCTACCAAGGGCTCCTGGTTGTCCAAACATTGCATCTGGTAGGAAATGAGGCTCTCCGTTGCTCAGTTGTCCATAAGATGTTAGATAGGGCATCGCTGTGTCACCCCCTGTAGACCAAGCAGCTTCACCCAAAGAATAGGAGAAGCCAATAGAGGGACTGTAGTAACTGGGTAAATAGGAATCTGACATGGCAGTATATGCATTATTCTGTGGAAGGAGAAAAAAAAAGCAAATCAACACCACACAAATATAAAGAAAACAATCAGGACATTTCTTCTCTCAATTATTCAAACAATTAAACCATTTCATCCATTATCATGAAAAAGGAGAGTGACCACTCCAGATGATCTTGTCCCATAAACTTGTTATATTGTAAGAAATTCTGGTTTAATAATTGTAGTATTTAAACATTTAAAGTTTAACTTACACATAGTTAATGTGGACCTTAACTTTAGCACCACAATTCAGAAGAGAAAAATCCAGCCTCTTAACAAGTTAGTTTTGCTTTGTAAGTGTTCAGGTGATGGTTTTATTAAAACCAGTACCTTTGGATTTGAGAGGGAATTTTGCCAAAACACGGGAGTGTTCAAAAGTTTCCTATTAAAAACATACTATAATGGATACTACAATAAGACAAACAAAACTGGAAATTTCAAATTTTATCCTGAAAATCTGTGCAGGCATTCCTCAACCATAAACCAAAAAGCAAGATCTACCAGTGTTTTTAAAGAACATAGTGTCTGTGTGTCAAGAAAACTTCTTAAATCTTATTAGTAAGCATTTATATGGCATGGCTTTATATATGTTCATAAATCTTTGCTATGTTAAAATACTGGTGCATGAATTTATTTTCAATTATCAAAATATAAAAATACATGATTTTAAGACATTTTGGTATGTGTCAAGTAAGTTTTTATTATGTAAAAAAACAAAAACCAAGGTTCACTACGTATCATTTACAGTAGTAGCGCCTCTTGGCAAACCAGCTGGGAACGTCAACAGATGTCACTATTTAATTATAACCTGGAAAGAAAATATACAGTAGCCTACACAGAATTTAAAACTAGAAAAAAGGTTGCTACCTGTTCTGCTTCTCGTATAAAACAAATGGCTGTAAGCTAAAACGCACAACTAACTTTTCCACTAAAAACAGGAGTGTAATTCTAAAGACACCACACAGTCCATTACTTTTAAAAAAGGAATCATTGTCAAGAATAACCAGAAATATACACTCACATGCAACCATTCCACGTTAGAAGGGAGACCGCACAGCAAAAACCTCAATCATTCTTGATCTTACTTTAGTTTGTGCTGAAAGTATTTTTACTTTTTAAATAAATCCTATGGCTCACAGAATATTCCCTCAAATGAGAAGTTAGAGATACGTAAAATTGGTCTCACTCTCACTTCAAAATACCTCTGGCATATAAGAAGCCACTGACCAGTCAAAATACGGAGTTTTATTCTTAAGAGACTTAGATGACCACCATTATCTTTGGCCTTAAGTTTGTATTACCAAAGCTAAGAGGACTTCTCCCTAGCCACTAAAACACATCTCCTGAAGATTAATGTTTCCACTAATGTGTAAAATGGTGGTGCTTTTTCTCTGCCAAATTGAATTTTCCTTTAAAAAAAACAAACAACCCCCCCCCCCCCAAAAAACCCTGTCTTTTCACACAGACTTCTCTTAAAATTACAGGTATTTCTCAAAGATAGTGTTAATATCTTAATAAACCCAAATCTATTATGTATAAAAATTCAATCTATAAAGACTGGTTTAGGCCTGAAGGATTATTCCAACATAAAAAGATGAAAAACTGATTAAAAAGTAGATGCATTACTCCTGAAGGTAAATTAAAATGGACAAAGATTCTCAGGTTGTCTCTTCAACCAGATTTCTATTTTCCCCCAATATTTTTAAAATAAAGACATGTAAGCTTTAGCTTACCTAAGAAAGAAAACAAATGCACTTAATATCGCAGGTTATGCCATTATATAGCACCTGAACCAGCAAGTTCCCACATGCCCCTGAGCTCAAAAATCTCAATTACACAATGTTTCACAAGAACTACCTAGAATTATATTTCCAAATGCTCCAACTCTCCCTGTTATAATGATTATGTAACCAAACTACTTCAATAGCAGGAACCTATTAATAGTTCATTCCTCTACTTCCTTCCCTACTTTTCCTGATTAACTGGTTATTTTCTACAAAAAACTTTTTTCCAATCATTTACTTAAATGGTTTCTATACATTCAATGCAGAAAATTTTACATAAAGAATCTAAAAGTTTTATGAAAGAATTACACCCAAGTATGGACATATGCTAATACATGAAGTTATTCTACGCTATTACACCTATCATGCAGCATCTGTTCAGAATTTATATAAATGTTCCATAAGGTGGTTCTTTTAGGATCCTTTGGTTGAGTTATGGCCCGTTTTCCTTCTGGTTTATGAGTCTGGGAGTTGTATTTGCTACCACTCTGTAACTAGGTCTTTGGGACAGAAGATGTTTATAAAAAGAAATGCCACACTAAATAAGTTTCTGTATGTACAGATCATGTACCTCTAAGCAGCTATCTTCACATTAGAAGATAGATTACATTGCAAAAACCTCATTCTTGATGTTAATTTGTACCAAACAGTACTTTATCTTCTTTTAACTCCACTTTGTAAATCCTATAGTTCCCTTACGTGAGAATCCAAAGGTGTATACAAAGTTGGTCGCTATATATGTGTGTGTGTGTGTATGTGTGTGTGTACACACACACACACACACACACACACACGCGTTCAACTTGAAAAACAAGTATGTAACTCCAAAATAGTTCTAAGACCTCACTAACTTAAATGACCAGAGGAGAGGAAGAACACCAAGTTCTGCATCACAGAATAAATTTAAGATGATTTTTTAATTAGTTTTTTCTATCACATATGAATCCAATTTTCAGAAAAGAAAGTGGTTTTGGGGATGAAAATTCAGAATATTTAAACTAGAAAGGATTAAATTTTGTATTGTATATTCCTGGTAAGGAGGAAGAATTATTCAAACAGGTGTTAACATTAGTATACTGTAAAATGTCACTCAGAACTAGTCTCAGAACAATATGTTTGCTGACAAAAGGTGGGAATCTGAACAGTCTATTAACATTTGTAACAACTTCTTATAACATCCTGACTACCAGTAAAAAAGTCACCTCCGAAAATGCGACTTTATTCATAGGGAAGAGAAAAAAATGGTAATAGTATACACCCTTTGACCAGGCATGTAAATGGTTAGGTACTCACGGGTCTTGCCTGTGGACTCAAGTAAGGTTCAAAATCATCATCGTTTAATCCATCCTTTTGATGTACAGATCCATTTTGTACTAAAAGAAAAAATTAAAATTACGAGTGTCTCAATCATACAATCTCCCTCCCAAATTAATCAAATATATCCGAACTAGAGCAATTAACTTTGAATTTCGAAAGGATAAGAATGAGAGTAAATGCTAAGTAGTATTAGTCAGTAAAAATGTCTCCCTCCACCCAGAGCAAGTTGATCTAAAAAGGTTATTTTATTGGCTCCTCTAGATTTCAATGCCCTCCCGCCCCCCCTCCAACCCCGGTCACATGTGAGTACTTCCAGAGTGTGATCCACGAGGATGAAAAACAAAGGCCTCCTAAGACATACAGGAAACTAAGGACCTGAGACATTTCAAAACCGATTCCACCCCCACCCTTAATGAATTACTCCTTGTTCGCTAAAAAGCTGATCGCCAGCTGCAAGAACACGCCGAAAGGGTCAAATACTTAAGTGTGAGGCACCTGCGAACCAAGGGCTTGCGAAAGATCCGCGCCTTTGGGCGCTTCCCGGAGACCCCGCCCCCACTACTCGGGGTCCCCCTCCCGGCCCGGGGCCACCCGCGGAGCTGAGCTCACCTTTGTTTCCTTGACCTTTTGGTCTCTGCGGGCGCAGGGAACGTCGCCGAGCAGCAAGTTGTCCGAGAAGAAATGGGAAAGGGAAGACAAATTAAAGCCGGGCCCGAGAAGGGAATAAAGGAGCAGGCCTGAGGGTAGGCGTCAGGAATGGTAGTGAGAGGGGGAGGCTCTGTAAACGGGAGGCGGGGAAAAGCGCTAGGCCGCCGGGGCTCGCGGGGAGAAAGATAGGGGACTCGCCAGAAGCAACGCGAGGGGACCAGGGCTTCAAGAAAGGGGAAAGGAACAAGGGACAAAAACGAGGCCCACTGAGGAAGAAAACCGAAGCGGGCGTTGGACGCCGAGAACCGGGAAGAAGCGGGAAGAGCGGGCTGAGGGCGAGGCGCAGGGCGCGGCCGGCCTGAGAGGCCCGAAACCCGGCCCGCGAGAGGCGCCGCCTCAGCTTGGCCCGACCGGGGGCGGCAGGCCCGGGCCTAGTCGGGCTCCCTCTCTCCTCACACAATGGCCGAGGCATGCGGGCCGGGCCTGTACCTGCTCCAAGAGGCTGCTAGCCGACATGGCTCTCGGATCCTCACAGGTAGCGACGGCGGCGGACTCTCTTCAGAGCGTCGGCGGCGGAGGATAAGCTCCGGCGGCGGGAGCGGGCGGCGCGACGGCGGCTTTTGTCCCTGACACTCGGGCCCTCGGCGGACGCAGCGGAGACACAGCGCGCGGCTCGGGCTCCGGCTCCGACTCGGCGACGCTCTAGCCCCAGAACGCAACGCCCGTCTCTATGCCTTTACGCGCGCGCGCGCCCGCCCCTAGCAGCCGAAATAAGAGCTCCGAGCGGCGGAGGCGGACGGCGAGCGCGGCGCGACGCTGACTCTCACATTCACTCACCCACGCGGAAGGGGCCCGGCGCAAAGCACGTCGAAAAGGACGAGGCGGGGCTGCAGTGCCCTCTGGTGGGCTGGAGGAGCGGAAGCGGCTCGCACTTGCTCCCCGCCCCCACCGTCTCAGGGCTGGGGCCTACGAGGGTGGAGACGGCTGGGTCGCGCCACGAGGTTTTTAACTTACACCTGCAGAGAGTAACTTTAGCTTCAGTAAATCCACAAAAACCAGTCTTTCAGTGAGGAAGAGACCCCCGAAGCCCCAGACACCTTAAAATAAACCTTCCCAGCTGCAGATGGCACCCCACCCCCATGCGGGGAGGAACCCGAAAAGGGTCTCAGAGCCCCCAGGGAAACTTCATGCGGGCCCTACCTCAGAAAGACACACCCTCCCCAGGTGCCCAGTTTTCCTCCTGTGACAGCGTACTGGGGAAAAAAAAAGAAAAAAGAAAAAAAAGAAAGAAAAGTGCCCAGAGAACAAAAACATCCACAGAAATTTGGTCCCCTGCAAAAGATAGTTGCCCTTTGGTATTACAGGGAGGAGAATCTGCAATTTTTTAGGTTAGTCACTCGCCCCCGTAATAAATTGTTAAATTGTGGCCCTTATTTCCACGAAGAACCCACTCACACACCTACACAAAATTCTTCGTGTACTTTGAACAAGTCCAGGGAATCTGTAAGTCTATGGACTTCAAAAGGAAATGTCCTTATCTGAGGAAGAAAGGAAATTAATGCTACTTGAATACCTGCTCTGTGTTAGGTTTTGTTGTTGGGTACTTTCAAAGCCTTATTAAAGGTTTTCAACATCTTCAAAATACCTATTAGTCACTACATTTTACAAGGAAACAGAATTTAAGTACTGTGTCCAAGGTCACAAAGCTGTAAGTAGATGTAACTGACACACACACACACACACACACACACACACATAATAGTGTCCCTCTGCCCCCAAGAGAAAGCCTGTTTTCAAGAAGCAGAATCCAGAGGTGATCAAAGGATGGGCAAAAACATTTTTGATCAGAGGCAAACCCAACACATGCAGGGATATTTGATCCTAGGACGGCCTGTCTCCTAATAGCTTTTGGTATTGCGAATAGTAGTAAAGAGATAAATAATGCACTGTTAAGTACCAACCTGATACCATCCATTCCCTGGATACAGAAGGCTTTGGAGGACTCACTAGTAAAATAAATGATAACAACACATTGGATTTTGCATCATAATTGTGTGTCAAGTGCTCAATTCATTTTTTTCTCCCATAATCTCATTTATGGTGGAACAAATAAGGTCAGGCATCAAATGTGATGGACTTCTGGAAAAAGACAGAAAAATGTCAAGTCATAGACAATAGATCCCATCAGAGGAATAAAATACTCAGTAAGCCTTCTTTAAGGATACTCAGCCAGGTCCTGGCGGAGTGTCTCAGCTGGTTGGAGCACTGTCCCATGCACCAAAAGTGTGCAGGTTCAATTCCCAGTCTGTACAGGAAGCAACCTATCAATGTTTCTCTCTCCCCTCCTCTTTAAAAATGAATAAATATATCTTTGGGTGAGGAATAACAATAATAAAATGATACTCAGCCAGTTAACCTCACAGTCCAGATTTATATTTAAACTGTAAACAGTTACCTACACTTACCCTAGAAAGCAACATGGTTTGATAAAAGGAGAACTGATCTGGGAGCGGGAGGGACTAAATAATGGCCTCCCCACCAGATTTGCAATACTAGGTAAATTACTAAACTTGTCATTTGATGAATGGAAAAGGAGGATAATAATATCTTCTTAAAAGGCTTGTTGTGGAGATAAAGTTTTTGTTGTTTTTTTTTTAAAGACATTAAATAGCCCTGGTCAGCTAGCCTGGCTGGAGCATCGTCCTGATAAGCCAAGGTTGTGGGGTTCCATCCCTGGCCAGGGCACATACAAGAAGCAACCGATTAATACATAAATAAGTAGAACAACAAATCGATCTCTCTCTCAATAAAAATTAAAAATAAATAATAAAAGGAAGACATTAAAGCAAGTTCAGTACATTGTAGATTCCTTTCCTATAATTCCATTAAGTCATGGTAGTGAAAATTCCCTGGCTCCAATGATGAAATTGGGATTAGTTTCTTTGGGATTACTTTCTGTCATCTGGGAGTTGCTATTCTTAGGGAGAAAGGTAGTCTCTAAACCTGGATTTTAGTTCACCAGATTGGCTTTAATAGGCCTCTGAACAGAACACAAAAGGCTGATGTATTTAGTCACTGTAAAGAGGAAGAGGAAGTCTGGAGTGTGGGGTATCATCTTATGTGACCCCCATGGTTTGAGAAAACAAAACTGTACTACTAATGGGTCTGTGTTCTAGTTTCAACTCTGCAACTGGGTAGATAAACCATTCAATCCCTCTTTCAACCGGTATTTATTGAGGACCAGACAATGTGCTGGAGAGAATATCTTAAGAGTTTACTTTCCCTTGAAGCTTATAGACTAGTCAGGGGAACTGACTGTAAGCAAATAATTATTCAATTACGGTTGTGCAAAGTGCAATGAGAAAGCACAGAGAAACCTGTCCTGGGGAGTGTGGGGGGCAAAGGAAGTTTTTCCTGAGGTGGTAACCTTCAGCTAAAGCCTGAAGAATAACAAGTAGGTGAGGGAAGGGAGTGAGGGAACAATAGGTGCAAAGGCCCCAAGCAGAGAAAGAGCTTGGCACTGGTGAGGAACTAAAAGAGGGCCACATGACTGAGAGAGAGAGAGAGTGTGGCACCAGATAAGACTGGAGAATTGGACAGAAAGGAGAAAAATAGGAAACTTATATATTAACTACAAATGATGATCAGCTAGTAAAAGGTTAATAGGAGCATAGCATTCTCAGATTTATGTTTTAAGATGTTGTTAACTCATGAACTCTGATTGCAGTGTAGGAAATAGGTTTAGGGAGAAAAGAGAAGAGTAGGAATCAGAAGAGTATTGCAATAAGTCAAGGCAAAAGATAATGGTCTAATATACTGGCAATGACAACAGTGAGAAATGGACATTTTAGGAGGTAAAATGAGAGGTCTTAGTGATTTGTTGATTGATTGGATTAGGGGGTGTTAAAAAAGAAGAAGGTATCAAGCCCAAGGATGATACCTGGTTTGATTTGAGCAATTGGGTGGATGAGGTGCCATTTTCTAATATGGGGAAAACTGAAGGAGACTTGTAGGGGTGGGGAATAATTATAAATTTATCTTTGGCCCTGACTGGTGTAACTCGTTGATTTGGGCATTGTCCCACAAAGCGAAAGGTCGCCAGTTCAATTCCTGGAGAGGGTACATGCATGAGTTGCAGGCCAGGTCCTTGGTTGGGGGGCATGCATGTGAGAGGCAATGGACCAATGTGTCTCTCATGCATCAGTGATTCTCTCCCTCTCATTCTCCCTCCTTTCCCTGTCTCTAAAAATCCTTTAAAAAATTTATCTTTGGTCATTCTGGGTTTCAGAAGATAAAAGTCAGACAGAAGTATTCTGTAGACAATTAAAAGGTTTGGGGCAAAAAGAGAATGACAGGGCTGAGAGTACAAATCATGGAGTTTTGGGTATAGGGATGTTAGTTGAAGCCAAAGGAGCCCATAAGATTTCTGCAGAAGAGAGGAGAAGAACAAAAGGCCCAGCACCAAATTGGAGAGATAAAAGAACAAACAAGGAAAATAGATAATTTCTTCATTCAGTCTATTTCCAAGACTGTAAAATAAGGAAGTTGGACCAAAATAACTTCTAAGTTTACTTCTAGTTTCCACAATTTTAGATTTCTGGAAGGTGGAAACCAAAAAGCTTTTTCTTGGGGCAGTAGAAATAAAGGAGAGAAAAGAAGTAGGAAAGGAGGACAGATTTCATATACTCTTCAGGAACAGAAGATCTCATTGCCCATCACCCTCTTAGTAAGGCAGGAATAGAAGAGACCTTCCTTTAGAAATACTTACACATGTCATAGAACCGACAGCGTAAAAACTTATTTTTAAAGATCTCTCCTGGCTCTCTCTAGTCCACACAGTGTACAAAGCTTGCCATCTCTGGCCCTGTGTATTTCTCACTGTGTACTTTAGGTTCCAGCCACACTGAATTTTCCCCCCAATACACATTTTTTTTTTTCTGGAACCCCTAATTTTGTATATGTTGTTCTTTCTGCCTCAACTGTCCTTGTCATCTCCCCCCACTCCCAACTTCTGATGACAACACTGTGATCAGCAAAGATTTATTCTCCCCCGAAGCAGAAAAAGGGTGCTCGATTTTTTGTTCACTCATGATATTGGCATTATAGTAACTTATTTTGGTATACTAAATGTATCTGTTTACATCAATATTTCTTTCTGTTTTGAAAGTCTAGGACTCTGTTGAGAATCTAATGAGAGCAGTAATGAATCTTCTCAGAAAAATGCATATACACCCAAATGTTTGTTTAGAATCTTATTAAACACCCCCTGCCCCAAGCCCATCCATCCCATGGACCCTAGCTTAAGATAACCAACCCCCGGACTACATATTGCCTTTCCAATAAATCTATGGCTGCTTCAGGGCAAAGAACATTTTTATTATTAATCATTATAATCCAATGGTACATAAATGCTTGCTGAATTAATTTAAATATCTCATCCATTTTCAAAATTCTGCCTAGTATTGTTAATCCCTATTTTTCTATTGAAAACCTGGTGGGCTCATTAGTGTTAAAAAGTTACATGTGTAGACTTAACTAGCTTAACTGAATGTTAAAAGAAAATGTGGAAATCCCAAGAAAAGTTAATGATTTTTTTAAAGCACAAATGTACTGTACTTTAAATACATTTAGGTAGCTCAGTTGATTGGCATATCATCTTGATATACCAAAGTTGTAGTTTTGATCCCTGGTCAGGACA